AATCAACAAATTCACTAAAACAAAACATTAAATAAACAGTTGTTAAAACACACCAATTAAAATCCAGGTCCGGGTCAGTTCATTGTCACTTCAGAATTGCTTATGTGTTCTTCATACAAGCTGCTGTTCAATGGTCAAATGCAAGGTCCCACAGCCAAGTCTTGAGTTTCCTTCTAAAGGACAGGAGGGAGGTGGCCAGTCTGATGTCTTTGGGGAGGGAATTCCACAGATGGGGAGCCACTGTTGAGAAGGCCCTGTCTCTCGTCCCCACCAGTTGTGTTTGCGACGGCGGTGGGATCGAGAGCAGGGCCTCTCCAGATGATCTTAAACTTCGTGATGATTCATAACAGGAGATACATTCAGACATGTAGTCTGGGCCAGAACCGTTTAGAGCTTTAAAGGTTAAAACCAGCACTTTGGATTGTGCTTGAAACCAGATCGGCAAGCAGTGGAGCTGGCGTAACAGAGGAGTTGTATGCTCCCTATATACCGCTCCGGTGAGCAACCTTACTGCTGACCATTGAACTAATTGAAGTTTCTGGGCAGTCTTCAAAGGCAGCCCCACGTAGAGGGCATTGCAGTAGTCTAATCGGGATGTAACGTGATTAGACTACTGCAATGCCCTCTACGTGGGGCTGCCTTTGAAGACTGCCCAGAAGCTTCAATTAGTAGTCTAATCAGAATGTAACAAGAGCGTGAAGGAGCCCCCGGTGACGCAGTGGATTAAATCCCTGTGCCGGCAGGACAAGTCCGACAGGTCACAGGTTCGAATCCGGGGAGAGGTGGATGAGCTCCCTCTACCAGCTCCAGCTCCTCATGTGGGGACATGAGGGAAGCCTCCCACAAGGATGATAAAAAGATCAAATCATCCGGGTGTCCCCTGGGCAACGTCCTTGCAGACGGCCAATTCTCTCACACCAGAAGCGACTTGCAGTTTCTCAAGTCTCTCCTGACACGACCAAAACAATAAATAAATAAAAGAGCGTGGACCACCATGGTCAAGTCAGACTTCTCAAGGTATGGGCGCAGCTAGTGCACAAGTTCCAGGCTCAGCAATGAATCAGGATCACTCCCAAGCTGCGAACCTGCGTCTTCAGGGGGAGTGTTACCCCGTCAGGTACAGGCTGTAACCTAATGGTTTGGAAAGGTTAAAGGACTTTTAACCTCAGTTATCTTATCTACAAGCCTTGTGTATCAATTGAAACCCTACTGTCCTGACTCAACAGAATAAACTGCGTCTTCCAGATTATTACAACTCCCATCATTTTTAGTCAGGAGGTCTCATGATGTAATGGTGAGGAATACAGGAGTTGCGGTCCAGCATCTGGAGGGACGCATAAAAGGACACGGCCTGCCAGATTCAGCCTGCAGACCTTGAGTTTGACACATGTGCTAAAAATTAGGGTATAAAGCCACTGCTTCTTAGCTAATGGATGCATATCTCTTTTAAAAAGACTGCTCAACAACATTCCAAAAATCTGTGCCAAGTTTAAGGTGACTTCTGTGACCTTCACATACAAATCTAGGAAACATGCATAATTATTTGTTTGATTCTATTTTTGTTTATTAACTAAAATCAAATGCATGTTCCAAAGCCTTGGTTCCAAGCACTGCAGGTCTTTGGCTTCCAAGATTCCAGCAGAACTATTCATGTATTTCCCAAGAACATATTAACACGCATCATGTTTAGAAACATCTTTCTGTAAGAAAAGCGAAATATCTCTTTAAGCTAGCCAAAAATTCTGTGTTCATGTGGTAGTGCAGTATACATTTAGCTTTGCTCTGGATCATAGTCATAAGAGTTGGAAAAGACCCAAAGAGTCATTCAGTCTAAACCTCTGCCATGTAGGAACATTCAGTCCAAGCACTCCTGGCAGATGGCCATCCATTCTCTGTTGAAAACTCTCCAGGGAAGGAGAATCACCCACAGTTCCAAGCAACCTATTCCACTATCAAACACAGACATGGGCAAACTATATGTCCTTAGGAATTGTGGGAGTTGAAGTCCAAAACACCTGAAGAGCCGAAGTTTGCCCGTGCCTGCTGTGTAATGTTCTCAGGAGATTATTGCCTTTGCTTGCCATCACTCCACTGTAAACGAATTAAGACTCCTTTGGAGACAATTATAAAAATCAGTCGTCTCCAGTTTTATCTCTGTTGGGAAAATTACCCCACTCTTCACCCAGAATGGCACAAGGAGTAGCAGTAGAATGTTGTCGTTCTGTCTTGACCTATTGTAAATTGTCTTTTCTATGTTTTTGTACACCGCCGCGAGTCGCCCTAGGGCTGAGAGCGGCGGTTAATAAGTGCAAGTAATAAATAAATAAATAAGGAGTGACTCACAATGACCAATCATGAGATTTCTTGTGCTCAATTTGTGCTCTAAAGGCAAAGCACAAAAGATACATTTGAAAAAGATACCTGATAAATGTAATAAATAATGAGAAGAAGGAGGTAAGAAGGAATTGTGTGTGTGTGTGATGCGTCCTTTAAGAAGTAGCATGCATATAAGGTAAAGGTAGTCCCCTGACATTAAGTCCAGTCATGTCTGACTCTGGGGTGGGGTGCTCATCTCCATTTCTAAGCCGAAGAGCCAGTGTTGTCTGTAGACACCTCTAAGATCATGTGGCCGGCATGACTGCATGGAGCGCCGTTACCTTCACGCCGGAGCGGTACCTATTGATCTACTCACATTTGCATGTTTTCAAACTGCTAGGTTGGCAGAAGCTAGGGCTGACAGCGGAAGCTCACGCTGCTCCCCGGAATCGAACCTGCGACCTTTCAATCAACAAGCTCAGCAGCTCAGTGCTTTAACCCACTGTGCCACTGGGGGCCCCTAACATGCATATATATGTATGTATATGAGTATTTTGTGTTTTTTGGTCTTACAGCAAACCTAAGGGAAATCTGTGCCAGCACTGGGATAGTGTTTTCTTGGCAAAATTTGTCCAGAGGGGTTTGCCTTGGGCCTCCTCTGAGGCTTACTTGCTTACTTACTTACTGAGGCGATCCCTCGTAGTCTGAGGATGATGGTCCTCCAAGGTTCTGTCAGTGGGTCCGTAAGTGACTGGAGCCCAATTCTTGATCTGCGTCTTTTCCCGCAGTGAGGGCATTGGTTTCCAGGTGGAAGGCAGTCCCGGTCGGGGTTGGCTTGATGCACCTTCCTCTTGGCACTTTTCTCTCTTTCACTCTCCATTCGTGCCTCTTCAAACTCCACAGCACTGCTGGTCACAGCTGACCTCCAGCTGGAGCGCTCAAGGGCCAGGGCTTCCCAGTTCTCAGTGTCTATGCCAGAGTTTTTAAGGTTGGCTTTGAGCCCATCTTTAAATCTCTTTTCCTGCCCACCAACGTTCCGTTTTCCGTTCTGAGTAGACTGCTCTGAGTAGACTGCTTTCCGTTCTGAGCAACTGCTTTGGGAGACAGTGGTCGGTGACCGGTCCAGCAGAGTAGATGGCGGAGGACCATCGTTTCAATGCTGGTGGTCTTTGCTTCTTCCAACACGTTGACATTTGTCCGCGTGTCTTCCCAAAAGATTCGCAGGATTTTCCAGATGCAGCACTGATGGTATCGTTCCAGGAGTTGCTTGTGACGTCTGTAGACAGTCCGCGTCTCACAGGCGTATAGCAGGGTTGGGAGGACAATAGCTTTATAAACAAGCACCTTGGTATTCCTGCAAATGTCCCAGTCCTCAAACACTCTCTGCTTCATTGGGAAAAATGCTGCACTCGCAAAGCTCAGGCGGTGATGAATTTCAGTGTCAATGTTGACTTTTGTGGAGAGGTGGCTGCCAAGATAGTGGAAATGATCAACATTTTCTAATGTTGAGGCTGAGAAAGTGTGATTTACTCAAGTGACCGAGTGGGCTTCCGTATCCATAGCCAACCTAACACTGAATTTTAATAACAAATACATTTTGGGGCCCATTGAAACATTCCGTTGTTAATATGGCCCCATATTAACACCCATAAACAGTATCTAAAAGACACACTGTTAGGATTCTTTTAGTAATTGTAGACATTCAGTTCCGCTCCTTTCTGGTATAAGAATTGGGGTGGGAGGGTGACCCAGTGGTTGTGAAGCTCTCTTCCAGATGTTTTCCACCAAACCTTGTAAGACAAGCTTCCAACAGGCCTTAAGTTGGTCTCTTTCTATTTTTCCCTGGGAGTATTTTTGTGCTGCTTAGTTATAAATGTTTCTGAACTGTTTATTTCCCCTCTTTTCAATCATCATGGCATCCTTTGGTTCTTTGTTGGGAGAACTGCATTTGTTGTTGTTCATTCATTCAGTCGTCTCCGACTTTTCGTGACCTCATGGACCAGCCCACGCCAGAGCTCCCTGTCGGCCGTTACCACCCCCAGCTCCTTCAAGGTCAGTCTTGTCACTTCAAGGATGCCATCCATCCATCTTGCCCTTGGTCAGCCCCTCTTCCTTTTGCCTTCCACTTTCCCCAGCATAATTGTCTTCTCTAGGCTTTGCTGTCTCCTCATGATGTGGCCAAAGTACTTCAGCTTTGTCTCTAGTATCCTTCCCTCCAGTGAGCAGTCGGGCTTTATTTCCTGGAGGATGGACTGGTTGGATCTTCTCGCAGTCCAAGGCACTCTCCGAACTTTCCTCCAATACCACAGTTCAAAAGCATCTATCTTCTTTCGCTCAGCCTTCCCTGCATTTACTAAGTGGGAATATCTCGATTCTGAAATGCCCTCCCAAAAAAAGTCATGGATGCTGGCTCTTTTCCATTATATACGAGTTCATAGTGTTTTTGTTTTTCTCGGCGTTTTAAACTGCTTATGCTATTTGCCTACTTTTTATTACATCAATGTTTTGGAATAGGTTTTAACGTCATATTTAATTACGGCCCTTGAGATGTAATAATGGAAGTCTACTCCCTGTAGTTTAATATTGTTGTTTTCTTAAAAACTGGTGCTTTTTTAAAAAATGGAGTGGATTGACGTTGTTGCACATTTTGCTTGGTTCCTAATCTTGTATCATTGCTTCCCCAGATGTCAAGAAAGATTGGTCTGACCACGCTTTGTGGTGGGAAAAGAAGAAAACCTGGCTCCTTAAAACTCACTGGACCTTGGATAAGTATGGAATACAGGCCGATGCGAAACTACAGTTCACTCCTCAGCACAAACTGCTCCGGCTCCAGCTTCCCAACATGAAGTATGTGAAGGTGAAAGTCAACTTCTCTGACAGAGTCTTCAAAGCCGTGTCTGACATCTGCAAGACTTTCAGTGAGTATCCGTTGCCTGCGGAGGAGCCAAGCAGAGCTTTTTCTTATGAGAAACATCCAGATTCAGTAGCTCTTGATATTTGCTCTGTAACCTTTCAAGTTATTTACAGCATCATCCTTATAGCAAGGAAAGATTAGCCTATCTCCCTCTGGGGTAATTATTCAGCTTCTTAAACAGCCTGGTGTCACAAGGGGCAGTTGCAAAAATGTGGAAAAATAGGTTTCAATTAAACTAGCAACCAGTGGAAATGTGTGTGGAGTAGCAGTACAACTGCTTTATGTCTCCACACTTATTCTTGCCTTTTGCTTCCAGGCATTGATGGTAATTGGACACTTTGAGCCCTTCCAGATAGCCCCCATATCCCAGGATCTGATCCCAGGTTTTCTGCTTTAAACTGGATTATATTAGAACGCACTGTCAGATAATCTGGTATAAATGGAAAAACTGGGATCTAATCCTGGGATATAGGGCTTGTCTGGAAGGGCCCTTTATCTCTCACAGTACCTTGCCACAGTATGGCAAATTGGAACAAGCAGCAGACATTATTGATATTTATTGCAATCTTTAAATATGATCATGGGCATCAAATGCCACTGTACAGCAACTTTTTTCTTGTATTTGGATGTGTGGTGATGTGAGATCCCTTCATTTATTAAGGACCAGATACCGGGGGTGGGGGGGGGGGGGGTACTGGTCCTTAATAACCATCTCCCATTTCTTTTTGCTGTTCTTTGGTTTCTAGGAAATCCCTGACAGGTAAAATGTACTGAATCCTGAACTGAATTTAGTAAATGTATACCATTGTATTTGAGACTAAATAAATAAATGCCCTGGGAGCTAGGCATGAAATGTACTCGCACTTACTTACTTAGCTGGTCCCTTATTGACCGAGTAAGTTCTCCTGCAGTGAGGGCATCAGTTTCCAGGTGGGAGGCAGTCCTGGTTGGGGTTGGCTTAACACACCTTCTTCCTCTTGGCACATTTCTCTCTTTTGCCCTCTATTTGTGCTTCTTCAAATTCTACAGCACTGCTGGTCGCAGCTGACTTCCAGATAGAGCCCTCAAAGGACCAGGGCTTCACAGTTCTTGAGGTCTATGCCACAGTTTTTAAGGTTGGCTTTGAGTCCATCTTTAAATCTCTTTTCTTGCCCTCCAACATTCCATTTTCCGTTCTTGAGCTCGGAGTAGAGCAAATGCTTTGGGAGACGGTTGTCGGGCATTCAGACAATGAGCCCGGTCCAGCGGAGTTGGTGGCAGAGGACCATCACTTCAATGCTGGTGGTCTTTGCTTCTTCCAGCATGCTGACATTTGTCCACCTGTTTCCCCAAGAGATTTGCAGGATTTTTTTGAGACAACACTGATAGAATCGTTCCCAGAGTTGCATGTGACATCTGTAGATAGTCCACGTTTCGCAGCCATATAGCAGGGTTGGAAGGCAATAGCTTTATTAACAAGCACCTTGGTCTCCCTATGAATGTCCCGGTCCTCAAACATTCTCTGCTTCATTTGGAAAAAAGTTGCACTCGCAGAGCTCAGGCAGTGTTGTATTTCAGTGTCAGTGTTGACTTTTGTGGAGAGGTGGCTGTTGAGGTAGCGGAAATGGTTCACATTTTCTAATGTTACACCATTAAGCTGTATTTCTGGCATTGGGGAGGGATCGGCTGGTGCCTATTAGAAGAGCACTTTAGTTTTCTCAATATTCAGTGACAGGCCGAGCTTCTCGTATGCTTCTGCAAACATTATTACATAACATTACTAACAAGCAAAAAGCAATAGAAGGTCTAAATACCCTAAAGTACCGGGATTGTGGCGCAGCTGGCTGAGTGTCAGCTGCATTAAGATCACTCTGACCAAAAGGTCACGAGTTCGAAGCTAGCCCGGGTTGGAGTGGGTGTCATTGTGTAGCCTATTGTCGACCTTTGCAACCTGAAAGATAGTTGCATCTGTCAAGTAGGAAACTAAGGTACCACCTTGTGTGAGAGGCTAAATTAACTAATTTATGAGGCCACAAAGAAAAAAGACTCCGGGGAATGTGGAATGCGGAAGAACTTCATCGGTGTCGCTGATGGACGATGAAAGCAGCAGCTCGCCTGGCGGCCAGAAAAAAGTTAAATAGCCTCTGTGTATTGTCTGTATACGTTGTTTGTCAAACTGGCATTGAATGTTTGCCATATATGTGTATACTGTAATCCGCCCTGAGTCCCCTGCGGGGTGAGAAGGGCGGAATATTTTTTAAAAACTGTAAAAAAAAATAAAAATAAAGCAGGCACCCCCAAACTGTGGCCCTCCAGTTGTTTGGGCCTCTAACTCCCAGAATTCCTGCCCATTGAACAAGCTGGCAATAGGGCCGAAGTTTGAAGATGCCTGCCCTAAAAGAACCAGATCTTGTCTGATCTTAGAAGCTAAACTGAAATATTATTATTATGTTTATTATGTTTATTTATACCCCACTTTTTCTCTCCACAAGGAGACTCAAAGCAGCTACTTACCTAAGAAAACTTTATGAAATTCATGGGGTCACTGTAAATCGACAAAAAAACAACAAATAGCGCAACAGATTAACTTTGCTGTGAGCAAGAGGAATGGAATACATTTTTTAAAAGAAAGAGGCACCTTTCAAACTCTGTTCTAGAGGCTATAGTTACATATAAGATTAAAACTGTAATAGAATGACATTTGAAATTTCCATCATGACCTTATCTCGGAGGCTGCCATTTTTTCAGCCAAGCATCCTGATTTAATCTTACAGGATTAGAGCCCTCCCCTTTTCTTGTCTATTTCTATACTTGGGGTCTTCTGATAGTTGCTGTCAGTATCACACAGGCTTCCTTATTCAAAGCCAGTTCCAAAAGGAAATCTAAATTGGAGCCCGCAACCGGAATCTGCAACTTGATCTTTGTCATGATACATCTTTCGCTTTATAAAATAAAAATGTTTTACTTTTGGCTGACCTATTTTTGTCAAGAGGCAGGAAGTCATCTATTATTTGGTCAAGTCTGAGAGCAATATTTCCAAATTAGAACTCTTCCTTGGACTTTTGATCTTTCTAAAAAAACGAAGGAATTTAATAAAAGTTATGTAACAGTATGTTGTGTAACTTGATGTAAAAAAATTAACTTTTCATTCAATACACTTGAAATATTGTCCATTGTCAAAGCTGAAATACTGTAATACAAACACAAACTCTGACAAGTAGTACAAAATTGCATTTTATTAAAACGCTTATTTCAGGCTCTTTAGTTTCTTCTGATTTTAACACTTAACAGGACTAAATAAATCCACTCCAAATAAAAATGTCTTACAACTTTCTAGTTTTCACTTGAGAAAAGTGCATGAATGGCCAAAGGAGGAAAGTGGTTTTGAAGACCTGGAATGTGTCTAAAATGATCAAGGGTCTGGAGAACAAGCCTTATGAGAAGCGGCTTAAGGAGCTGGACATGTTTAGCCTGAAGAAGAGAAGGCTGAGAGGAGATATGATAGCCATGTATAAATATCTGAGAGGAAGCCACAGGGAGGAGGGGGCAAGCTTGTTTTTTGCTTCCTTGGAGACTAGGACGCGGAACAATGGCTTCAAACTACAAGAAAGATTCCATCTGAACATGAGGAAGAACTTCCTGACGGTGAGAGGTGTTCAGCAGTGGAACTCCCTGCCCCGGAGTGTGGTGGAGGTTCCTTCTTTGGAGGCTTTTAAGCAGAGGTTGGATGGCCATCTGTTGGGGGTGCTTTGAATGCAATTTTCCTGCTTCTTGGCAGGTTGGAGTTGGACTGGATGACCTACGAGGTCTCTTCCTACTCTATGATTCTAGGATTCTAACCCTTTCACTGTTGTGAATGCAATTCAATGGTGACATTAATCAGGTGCAACCAGTTGAGCTGGGATTGTGATGAGACACATTGTAGAAGGGTGGACTGTGAACTTTAAATAGATTTTTCTGAGGCCCTTCTCTGAATACCCTCTCATGGGAGGTGAAGCATATGGTGTCAGAGGCTTTCTTTGGTGTTGATGCTATGTCTGCCCTTCCCTAAGCCACGGAAGGCCATGGCAAACCCCCACTGGACAAATCTTGCCAAGATAATCCCATGATAAGGTTGCCATAACTCAGAAATTATTTGAAGGCGGCGCAACAACAAAGAAGTTCACCTTGTCCCTTTGCCATGCAAAATATTCACTTTGTTGACCCTTTCTTTTTATCAGCAGTTAGATTTGAGAATGGCTTCCATAGGCTGCTGTGTTTGCATTCATTTCCACAATATTATGTTTTATTATTTCAATCATGCATGACTTGAAAAATGAAATATCAAAATAGCAATATGAGATTCTTATCTGTTGAAGGAATAGATGCCTTAAGATAAGACATAACCAGTGCAAACTTCAGGGTATGCATGGCATAATGTCCATGTGACTTGACTTGTTGGAAAACCTGGATTTGTCAAAGAAAGGGGAATTATAGCATTTGTCAGCAGGCAGATGATAAAACAGCCTTTTTTAGTAATCCAGTACACATTTGACAAGAGAGGGATAGGGTCCGAAAAGCCAACATCTGTGCATATTTGGAGATCTTAACCCTTTGCTTCCTGCCATTTTCCTTGCCCATCCCCACAATGTGATAGACTTTCATGACTCTTCTGAAACACTGCTTTATTGAAGGACGCGAGAAAGTCCCAAATGTAGAAAATAGATGTTGCTTGGACCAGAAATAGTTTCCCAGCTGTTTAAATCAAATACTTTTCCAGCCCTGCCTCTGAGGCTGTTCCTGTTGAGGACAGAGGCCGTAACAAACAAGGGAGATGTTGAAATGAGCTCAAGGTGTCTGTGAGAAATATTCACACACTTGCATCCAGATAACATTTTGGGATGCCACATCCAGAATTTTGGCAAGAAAGGTGTTAGGTGAAAATGCACTTAGCAATGTTATGATTTGGCAAGAGAAGAAGCAAGTTCCTCAGAGGTTATCATTCTTGGGTGTTGCTTGTGTCCTTGGAGAACCGGCTTGGTGAAA